AACCTTAGCAGGATCCGTTTTAATAATGCCGTTGCCCACAATGTATCTCAGATACTTTACTTCTATATGACAGAACTTACTTTTCTGTACATTTATTGTCAAGTTAGCTTTACTTAGACAATCAGCAACTTTCTTTAATAACATCATATGAGCTTCGAAATCACTTGAGCATACCAATAGGTCATCAAGGTAAACGAACACACGTTCACGTAGAGCTGCTGGAATAACCTTGTCCATCAGACGACACATTCTCTGAGCGGCATTACACAGCCCGCATGGCATAACCGTAAACTGGTACAGCGGCCTATCTGGTACCGTAAACGCTGTCTTCTCTCTTGGTTCCCTCTCCAACGGGATTTGCCAAAAGGCATCCTTGAGATCTATCGCCGAAATATACTTGGTGTCCTGCAACCTACTTAGGATCCCTTCAGTGTGGGGCAAAGGATAGGCGTCTTTGATTGTGCGATCGTTGACCTTACGTGCATCTAAACACAACCTATGTTTATTTTCCTTCACAACTAAGGTTACAGGCGAACTCCAGCTACTATTGCTTTCTTCAATAACTCCTAGGCTCAACATTCGATCTAATTCATCATACATCAGCTTTTGAATAGCAGGCGAAATCGGGTAGTGTCGTTGCTTCACGGGTAGCTGTTCATTCGTTACCTCTATCTTATGACTTTCGACACTGGTACTTCCTAAGCCTAATTCACTAAAAGAAGGAAATTCCTTAACTACTTGCTCTAATTTCGTTTGCTGGCTAGTATTCAATGGGTGTTGTTCGGTTAATTTTAAATCAGCAGAACAGGTGTCAATTCGCCTATGTTGCCTAACGCTTCAGCTTTTCGGATTCGCTTGGTAATCAAGGGGATCTCAAATGCCTTCCAGAAGTCGATTCCAAAGTAGAATGGTTGCTGTAGTGTGGGTACTACTAAAAAATCCATAATTTCTGTTTGACCTTCCCAAAGGACTGGTAGTGATACTACTCCAATCACAGGTACCTCTCCCCACTAGCAGTTTTTATGGCTTTACCTGTTAATTTTACTAGCTTACTTGGTTGCTTTTGTAGAAACTCTAATGCTTCTTTTCCTATACAGTTGGTCATTGCTCCTGAGTCTAATAAGGCCATCACTTCTTCCTGATTAACCTTAGTTTTGACATAAATTCTATTATCTCCATCTAATGTAACTATTGTATCTACAATTTTACTAAGACTTGTCTTAACCAAACGCCTTTTATGTCTAAGTTTTAAAATTTTTCTAAATTTCCTATTCCTTTTACATTGGTTTGATACGTCCACATTACAAATTCTTTCTCGGTTCTCCTCACATTCCAGATTGTGTTGATGTAGTGGTTTAACTACCCTTGTTCTTTCGTTACTGCTATAGTGCTCGCTGTGCTGTTCACCTCTTTTCTCTACTTGTATCTGTACCCCGGGTTCGGCTTCTGTGGACATCGATTCCCGGGTGTCCATGTCCTTGAACCGTTTCCCTTATTACCATCATATCTAGAATAGGATGAGTTCTTGTTGCACAAAAAGCACGTCATATCATGAAAATGTGACTTACAAATGGTTTTTTGGTCAGAACCTTGCCTAATTGTATAAAAGTCTACGGGCATACCGCACGAATAGCACAAATTTAAGTGGAAAGGTGAGGGACAAAGAGCACCTCTATCTTGCCTACTTTTTCCCACATCGTTATTACCATCCTTCTCTACCCCACTTCTATATCGGGTCAATCTCTCCGGTTCTGGATCACTTCGGACTTTTGACATATCCATGCCTTTCTCACGATGTTCCAAACCTATTACCTCTACCCCCCATCTAGGGTTATTTTTCTGGTCCCTATACTCTATTTCTTTCTGACAAACCTCACTGATGTGTTGATTCCTCCCTTTGTTTTCTCTTAACAATTTTTCAGCTCGGTTACACTCCCTCCGTAGATCGGTCAAAGAGCTGAAAGTAGCTGAAAACAACAGGCTAGCCAATCCTGCTCTGATATTGTTCTTGATAATAGCGGCCAGATCTGGCTCCGGTATTTTCCTTTTCAGCCTGAAAGTCAAGTCATGGATGTCTTTGTAGAATCGCTCAAAATCTTCATTAGGTTGTTGTTTCCGCTCCATGATCCTTCTGATTATATCATAATCACTTTCTGCTGATTTAAACTAATAACTCTGGTTTTAACTGAAAATAATCGAAATACCGATTACTTTCTTGGTGTTCCAATAACTGCCAGAACCATTTCAGAGCATCACCTGACAGCAGACAATGGAATTCGGTAAACAGCTGCTGATATGACACACCATACTGCTCACGCATTCTCTCGACGCTAAACGAAAAGCTTTCCACCGTCATATCTCGATTGGAGCCATCAAATTTGATGTGCCATCTTTCTAAATCCACGTTCCTTTTAAATGGCTTATCAAAATCCACACTCACATTTGTAGCATGTTGGGGACTTGTACTTAAAGGTTTCCCTCCACTTCTTTCATTCTATTATTCAGAGCCCCAACTTCTACTCTCAGAGACTGAATACAATCTGTAAAGAAATCTTGTTGTTGTCTCATCATACCTGCAAATTGCCTAACCAATTCTTCATTCATTGACGAGCCAGGTAATCTTTGTTACCTTTGCTTGCCGTTTCTCTGTCTTTCGATCTGGTTTCGATCTCGGTCGGACTCTCGGAGTCGCTAACATTATCAAGAGTTAAATGTTCGAGTTTACTATCGAAACTAAAAGATCTTTGGCGTGCATATTTCTCGTCTGATTTTATTTCTGGCTTCTGAGCTAACTTTTCTGTTAAAGGACGTCTCTTAGTTCTAGGTCTAGCACCTCTTACCTGGCTGCTAGCACCTTCATCTACCACGACTTCATTATATGTAGGCTCCATATTTGTTACACCTCTGATCCTTATCTGATATAATTCTAATTAATATAGCAATTCACAAAAAAAATTTCAAAAATTGAATTCAGATAAAACTATTCTATCTAGCAAGAACTTGTTAACTAACAGAGTTAAAGAAAAATACGAAAAATTACTTGATATATATAATAATAAGGTTTTGCTTTTGGGAACTCAAAAAAAAACTTATTATATTATGATATTATTAAACTTATTACCAACTTACTATAATGGCAATTTGTGTCCTTGTTATAAATTAAATTCAAATTACTACTAAGCTCTGGGTAGTACTATTAATCAGGACACATCATGATTAGGCGTAAACTTGCTTATGAATTTATATAAAACGTTCGTCTATCTGTCTGTCTGTCATGTAATCCTATCGTACTGATATCTACTCAAGAATAAGTTGTTAAGTAAGTCAATCCCACTGGCCCAAACACAACAATACCTAAATCTATCATTACTCAGATATGTATGAAAGAGTTCATGTAATTGACTTTCCTAAAAAACTTTGAAGACATAGTTTTACTTTTAACTGGTTCAAGGTAAAACGACTTCATATCAAACTAATGAACTACGCTAGTACTGCAATGCCTATTCCGACGGAACAGAAATTAGACAAGACAATTGTTAGTCAACCTACCGGGTTTAACTAACCATACTTCATAGTAAAAAAAAATTTAACAAACTAAATAACATTTTCAACCAACAATCTACCTAAAAACTAAGTGACATCGCAATGTATAGTTTGTTTTAACAAACTTTTACAAGACGAATGTTAACTAAGCCACTGGCTAATCGATCTATTAAGGAAATGCAAATCTTCTTGTGTGAGTCTCCGTTGTCTGTCCCAAAGTTGTCTCTGTTATCTCGTCGTTGTCTCGTCGTTCGTTGGGCGCCATTTTGTTGTGTCAGCCATGTTGTAATTATGGTGGTTCTAGAAGCCTAGCATGGCACGCTGGCAGGCCCGGTATGCTCGCCGGTTTTGGGTGTAAGTTCTTGGCAACTATTGGCCACCTGCTGACAACAAACAAAAAAATATCGTGCCATTGACAAATTCTATATAATTCTATTTAGTACTTTTTCTAAGTCTTTCAGTCCTGTCAACTGTTCTATCTTCATAAGCAGTCTATTTCATTCTACTCCTATAAACGCCTCATAACATGTCCCTGTACTACCCTTTTGAGCTTAATATATTCCTAGCCAGACATCATGTTGGATTGATCAGTAACTATAGAAAATTAGAAGAAACAGAGACAAACCTTCTCACCTTTTCGTAATATGAAGACCTAGCATATAATCCTTCTATTATGTGTTTTTTTTTATATATATGTATTTATTTAAAAGCGTCCAATATATAATTTTAAATAACAATTCTTTATATCAAAATATATAATTTTAAATAACAATTCTTTTATTCGGATTATTTAGTTAACTATCATTCAAATAATTATCTCAAAAATACAAACAAATTCTCAATAAATGTATATATAAATATATATATGTAAAGTAGTATATGAGAGGCCAGCAGTGGTAAAGCAGTCAAGTATAAGCCGGTTAAGCAGTAAGCAGTCAGCAGTGAGCAGTTCAGTTGGCGACGTTGAGTGAGTCAGTCGTATTTTAAAAGTTGTCAAGTTCGGTCGTCGTTTGAGCAGGCAGTTGTGCTATCGTATTTTTTAATTAATTGTTTATATAATTCTTCATTATTTTTATTATTACTTAATAAAACCTTATTATTTACTTAATAAAACCTTATTATTTACATTTGGGGGCTCAACCGTCGAGCTAAAAAATAAAAAGTGGATACAAAATTGTTAAAAGTTGATCGAAAATTCTGTGTCTGTAAGTATAGACACAAAGAAAATAAAATAATAAAAACCAAGCCGCAAGCTGGACACAAAAGGAGAACACGAATTAAATAAAAAAAGCGTTGCAAAAATAGGCGCGCAAAACGTTGCTGAAAAAGAAAAACAAGAACAACAATATTACACACGTTCGCAGGCGTTCAGAAGGAGATCGTTCAGTGCGTCGCAAAGAGGAGAAACAGCAGTTGAAGCAGAAAAAGAAGGAATATCAAAAAATAAAGCGATCACAATGGAAGCAAAAGTGGATGAAAATAATAAAAATTTACAGCAACTTATTCAACTTTTAACACTGAAAATTCAAGCAGATGAAATCAAACAACCTGAACCTAAAATAGCAGTTGAAAATGTTGCAAAAATTATTTCAGACTTTGATGGGGAAACAGTGCCGGTGTGTCATTGGTTTGAAGCACTGTTAGCTGAATTTCAAAAAACACTAAGCAGCGCTGAAGTACATAAGATGTTAAGTGAGCGCAAAAAAAAGAGAGACGAAAGTTTCCACGAATATGTTTTAAATATGAAAAAAATTGCTGTTCTGGGTCATGTGGAAGTAGAATCAGTTATTCGATACATAGTTGATGGTCTATATATCAAAAACGAATATAAATTTGGTTTTTACAGCTGTAAAACATACCAAGAGCTCAGAGAGAAATATGAAATATTCGAGCGGGTAGGAGAAAGCAACAAACATGAGAAGCACCAGTTTAAGGGTAACGAGGAAAACATTGGCAGTTTTAAAATAACACATTGTTTTAATTGTGGCTCATCACAGCATAAACGTGCACAATGTAAAGAAGAAGTAAAATGTTTCAAATGCAATGGCAATGGCCATATGGCAAAAGAATGTACAACTATAAAATATAGTGTCAACCTAATAACCTGCGAGAGGCGAAATAAGTTGATCAAAATTAATAATAAAACCGTTAAGTGCTTAATCGATAGTGGTGCCGATGTATCGCTGATACGAAAGAGCGTATATAACGAAGAATTTAGCGCGTGTACACTACAAAAAAGTGACGCTGAACTAATTGGTTTGGGCAAGGCGGCGACTGCAGTTATAGGCAAGTTCCAGGCACAAGTCAAAATCGACGAGTTGCAGACGGTACACACATTCTTGGTAGTAGCAGATGCAAGTATAAATGTGGATGTAATTGCTGGATTCGACTTGCTACAAAAATTTACAGTCACTTTACAGGCGGAGGGGTACAAATTTTCACCGGCTACAGAGAACGACAGCGCAAAGCATAACATTTACAAGGTGATAGAGAATAATGCGGAGCAGCAATATAAAACAGCTGTAATACAGATGATTAATAACTACAAGCCGTTGAAGTTGCATATTAGACCAAGCTGCAATGACGAAACACTCTGCGAGCAACCTAGTGGACTATCAGCACCTGAACGAAAAGCAATACAAAAACAGGTAGAGGAAATGAATGCTGCATTAAGTATGAACAACTTAATTGAGGACGATAAGAAATGCACAATGAATGAAGTTTATGATGATAAACAGGTCAAAGAATTACGAGTGAATCATAATACGGATGATTTTTCTGAAAGGAAGACTGATATATTGACCTTAAAAGATAATGATGTCTTAAATGAGAAAGATGGTGACACGTTGATTAACCTTAATATGATTGATGATGAACATTATTGTAAAAATGTGCACAATAAAAAACTAAACCCCATTAATGACGGCTATGATGTATATGAAGAACAGTATGATCAATTCAGTTATTCTACTGATCGTAATATGTTAGAAAAATCTGATAAGGATTTCGATGGTAAGAAAGGAAAAATAAAGAATTTTGTGATCGACGAAAAGTTAGTACATGAGCAAGGGCATCGTAAAAAATTAGTGGATATTAAAACAAAGTTAATTGGAGATTGTTTGGAAACTTTAGATGATACTGAAATTACTTTAGCATCAAATACATTATCTGAGACTGAAATCGAAAAATTCAAAAAGCCGAAAAAGAGAGTTAAAAAACTACGACAGAAATTAAAAGCCGAAGATCTTTTACTATTAACTGAGAAACCTGTGGAACGCAATGAAATCCGAGAAGATGTTAAAGAACGAATAAAAAAGGCACAAGAAATACGCAAGGGAAATTACGACAAAGATCGGCAAGAGTTGAGAGCAAAAGCTAAAGATGGAATAATAGCAGCACAGAATGCGTACAAAAAGCAGTTTGATAGCAAACGGAAACAAGAAAATGTGTATAACCTAGGCGATTTGATAGCGATAAAGAGAACACAGTTTGGGGCTGGACGAAAACTAGCCAGCGAATACGTGGGTCCTTATAAAGTGACTAAAGTGAAACGCAACGGAAGATACGAGGTGGAAAAAGCAGCAAATACCGAAGGTCCTAACAACACGTCAACCAGTTGTGACAACATGAAATTATGGAAATATATCATTAACGAAGAAGATTTATTGTCATCAGAGTCTGATGACGATGTGCAGGATGGCCGAGTGTAAAGTAGTATATGAGAGGCCAGCAGTGGTAAAGCAGTCAAGTATAAGCCGGTTAAGCAGTAAGCAGTCAGCAGTGAGCAGTTCAGTTGGCGACGTTGAGTGAGTCAGTCGTATTTTAAAAGTTGTCAAGTTCGGTCGTCGTTTGAGCAGGCAGTTGTGCTATCGTATTTTTTAATTAATTGTTTATATAATTCTTCATTATTTTTATTATTACTTAATAAAACCTTATTATTTACATATATGTATCAAAATAAAATTCAAATACTATGTGTATAAAAAAAAAAAATATACAATAATAATAAAAAAAGCAATTAAAAAAAAAAAAAAAATCTACTGCACATCAGTTTGGCGGCTTTTGTTTTTCTACCTTTTTTTTTTATTCATTTATAAATCAAGCAATTTTGTAAATAGGCACTTACCCTCATCGACGAGATGACGTCACTTCATGTTGTTGGAGTACCTAGTTAGTCAAATTTAAAAACAAATCTACATATATATACATATGTATATAAAAATTTAAAAATAAACAAAACCAGACACCTGATGCTTTAGTAGAAAGATTTTTTTGTCTTTCTTTTTTACAAGGTGTACAATCTCTTAATAAATGAATTTACTTTCATGTAAAAAAAAATAAAAAAATTCTTTTATATACAAATGACACTAATAGAAAATTCAAGTGTAAATAAACTAATTCAAATAATAAAATATAATAAATTAAACCAAAAAAAAAATTAACATTAAGCACATCAAAAAAAACTAAAAAGGTTTTTTTTTTTTTTTTCTCTGGACACCTCCAGTGGGTTTCGCGACAAGTAAAATATTAAATCCTGTACTCTCCGCTTACTAATAGGTTAGCTTACCGCAACAGCCGCTATTTGATGTAGTTGTGTTGGGTTACTTAACTTATATTTACTTACTTATATTTGCTGCTTTTGATGGGAATCCACTGCTGTTGATCTGGTCAATTCGCCCATGGAATATGAATTACAAGTTCTGCCACTCACTTGGCTCGGTCAGAAATTTCACCAAAATATTGTAACCGAAAATTTTTCTTTTAGTCTTTTTAACATTTATAACTTTAGAGACTTCTTATTTGCAATTACACACAAATCTTAAGTTTACTCGCAGCTCTTTAATTTCAGTCAGAAATTTCACCAAGAATATTGTAACCAAAAATTTTCAGTCTTTTTAGCATTTATAACTTTATAGACTTCTTGTTTGCAATTAAACACAAATCTTAATTTACTCGCAACTCTTGAATTTCAAAAACAAAACAAAACTTTTCAGTCATTTTTTTTTTTTTTTTTTATTATTTATAATTTCTGAGACTTTTCGTTTTCATTTCTTTTGCTAGCGATCTATTCCAAACTTAATAAACTTATTAAAGTCACTTTTTTTTTTTTTCTTTTAAAATATTATTAATTTCTGTGATTTCTTAAAAAAAACGATCACATCGAAGCAACAAACCATCAAAAAGAAGAAGGCTTTTTCACCAAATATCTCCTTTTATATCCTAAATCTTTTTCGTAGACACTTCTGTTACTCGTTTAATACTGGTGCCTTTCCTTTCAACCGTTTTTCCAAAAAGTACCAGTTAATACGGTGATTTATCATTTTTATACATTCTGAATTTTCCAAAACATTGGCATCATTTCTTATAATTTTATTAATAGGCCTTTTCGGTGGTTCGCAAGTACGGCAAAAAATGCATGTTGGCCTATGTTGGCCTATGTGGGCCACGCGAGTCATTGGTATCACTGTTGCAATCTGTCAAATGTTTTGTTTTGACAAACAGCAAATTTTGTATATGTGCATATAAATCAAATATATTTTTATAAAAATATTATAAAATTAAAATGAACACGGAATTAAAACGAATGGTAAGAATATTGGAAATTTAAAAATAAAACACTAAGATAAGTAAATTTTTGTAGGTACTGTAGATGTTGGGAGAAGAAAGCAACGTTTTGCAGCGGCCAAGGGATGCAAGTTGTTTCACGGATTTTTTAAATGTTATGAATGCACTTTAGAAAACACTTCGTTTTCTTTGTGGTCCATAGTTTGCGTGTATTTCTATAAAAAATTGTTTAGAAAAACTTCAAAAATTATGTTTGTTTTATTAATTTTTAATGTTTTATTAACTACAAATTAAATGAAATAAAATAAACGTTACTTGGTAATAACTAATATAATAAAAAATTCAATGTGCTTAATACTTACGATTTCTCCATTCTTATTATTTCTTCGTTACTTTTCAAGATTTTTCAAATTTTTTAATTCTGTTTGAATGTTTATTTCCTTAATTTTTGACATTTGATTGCACTATTTGTTGGAATTTTCAATGAAAGTTCACAATAGTTCGCTTATTGCGTTGGTAACATTTTTTTTTTACTGGCCGATGTGGTTGGCCGAGTAGTGAAAATAGTGTTGTTGTTTTGCATACATGCGGCCAGTATAGGCCTGCATAGGCCAGCAACTTGCTGTTTTTTGCCGTACTTGCGAGCCACCGAAAAGGCCTAATATTACTATTGTACATTGCTCTGGCAGCATTGATCATTTTAACTCCTAATTTTGCCTAAAACTTTTCGCCGCGACTCTTGATCAAAACAACATCAAAAGAAAAAAAATGTACAAAAGCTTTTCTTTTTTTTTTCTTGCATATTTTGGCATTTTGCTGTGAGTGCAATGCACAGGCTAATTTTAATTAATATAAAAAAAATAAAAAATAAAAATAAAAAAAATGTGTAAACGGTGCGCCACAATATTACTGCCGCGAATTTGGATGATGAAGTGCATGCCCACTTTACAAAAGGAACCACAGTGAAAGAAGCAGGTGCTGCACTGAGACTGCCTGGACAACGTGGGACATGCGAGGTAATATCATGTTGTTCATTTTATTACTCATGTTAACATATCACCTCCTACACACACAGGACTACACAACACAACTGCTAGAAGTTTCCGTCCTCTTTGTGTTATTAACCTTGAACCCCAGAATGTGTGCTTGGCATTAAAATAGCCTGCGTCCAGAAATTTAGAACCGAGTGTTTTAAAAAAGTTTTGGAAGTCTTGGACTTCTATATTAATTGGGTGGACAATATATTGCAGCTATTACGACATTTTCTCCATATTCATCAAATCGGATAGCTGTCGATTGTAGATAATCTTTGCTGAAGTCTTCTAAAACAATGTGTTTAAGCCTTTTTTTTATTATAATACCAGTACCTCCACGAGCCATACCTTTGAGATGCTTGGTGTCATAAAAGCAGTAATTTGGAATTTTGGAAGTGTTTTTTTGAGTAAAATGTGTTTGGGACACAAGCATAATATCAATTGCATTACTAATTAAAAAATATTCAATTTCAAATTTGTGGTTGTTTATACCGTTGGCATTCCAGTGACATATTCTGATGGAGTTGCTCATTTTTTCATTATCAGAGTTTGCATTGGAGCAGTTTGATTTTTTATAAGTTCTTGCATCAACTTTGCACACTATACATAAAAAGATCAAGACTTTGGATCAGTGTTCTAGCGTCTCTTTTAAATTATCTACTGCCGGTTTCGTCAATTGTTGAGGTTGAACATTTTCTCTTAATACATTTGCATAACTTTTGCCTTTAGAGATTGTTGCTTCTGTATTGTTTATTTGTTCTTGGTAGTAATTTTTGGGTGGCGTTTGGCTCAAGTGTACTTGGCGTTGTAATCTCTCGCCGCAAGAAATCTTTCACCTAGAGTTAAAAAGTAATCCGTAAATTGGGTCTCAGTAATGTTGAAGCGAGGAGGGCACTAAACTGCCGATAAAGTTAAATTTTTTCCTGTGTGCTTAAGGCATATTGATGTGGTTTGCATATAATTATGAGCATATGTACCTAGAAAATTGTGTTTTAGACACCTGTACCACCATGTGCTTTGCCATCTGGGTGATTGGTTTTATAAAATAAATAACCAGGAATAGAAAAGAAATTTTTGTTTGTTAGATGTGTTTCTGAGCAAAGCATTACATCCACACTTTCTCGGGACATGAAATGTGTGAGTTCAAGTTTATGTTGGCTTAAGCCGTTTGCATTCTATGTACAAATTTTTAAAGTACTCATTATTTAGACAAAAACATTTGCATTAATTGGCTTTGCATTTTAACTATCTCGTTAAGAGTAGTTTGCATGATTGACATGAACTGAGTTAAGCTCTGAGTAAGAGTGGAGATCATTATTTCCAAACTATTACTTTGAACTGGAGGGGCTTGTTGCTTGTCAGATTTAACGACATTAGCATATGATACACCTGGTGTAACAGGCTTAGAAGTTAAAGTTTGGAGTTACTTCTTGTAGGATTACGCAACGTTTCTTTCTGCAGAGCTAAAAGCTTCAGTTCTTTATAAATAGGACAGCCTCTGTAGTTTGCAGTGTGATTTCTACTGCAGTTGCTTCATTTTTTGGAGTTGGTATCCTTTAATGCTTTTTTATCGCATTCGGAACTATGGTGAAGCTCGCCACAAGCAACGCACACTGTACGAAGAGTGCAATATGACTTAGTATGGCCATACTATTGGCAGTTTGTGCATTGCACCGGACCATTTCTTTTGTGGGGCTCCTCAACGGTAATTCTGCGGTGAAGTAAATACTGTGGGTTGTAGATGGGATGGCTCTCATTTTTTATAAGCTTAGAAGCTTCCGGGTGAAGTTCAACTTTGAACATAGGTTGTGGGATTTTATCTTTGTTAACAATGTTTATAACTGCTCTAGCGCTAAAGCCTTTTTCGCTTAGGGCATTTTTTATCTCAATGGGTTCTACATCTGATTCGATGCCTTTAAGTACGACAATAAGGCCCTTACAACTCTTTAGTTGGTATGTGTAGTAATTTTTTTTGCTGTCTTCGAAATATTTGGTTATGACTCTAAAATTGTTTTCAGTGCCGATTTGGATTTTGATTTCGTGTATATTGCCCCTGGTTACAGGTACAATATGAAAAGTATTATTTCCAATCAGACTTGCAAGGATTGTAACAAAGTTATTTGAGCTGCGTTCATGCAAGTAGATTGGAGGCGGTTTAAAATTTTTGTTAATAGGCTGATTAGCTTCTTCTGTAGTTTCAGCTAATTCAGCAAATCTATTGCCAGAAATAATGTTTGTAGTTGCACTATCTTTGATAGTTTTAGTTATTTTAGCACCTTTTGA